GAGGCTATTACTCTGTAAACCACCAACAAAGCAACTAAGTAACCAAGATAGGGTGTGGGGGGAGGGGGGAGGGGCTTTGTGTGCACTCATGCACCCTGCATATGCAAAGGCAGTTTTCTTTTTTTACAGTTCAATAATTTTTCTATGCCATGGTAGCTGTATGCTCCGGATACAGATTTTCAAAGCATATGTTCCTTGGTGTATCAAGGAGTTTCATCAGAAGGCATAATAACAGTTCAAAGTTCTCTTTATACTCTGCGTTTAAAAGGTTAGAAATAACAAGTGTCAGTTTAGTAAAATTATCTTCTAAGTAACATCCCACTACTTTGAGATTTCACAGTGAAATCATCATACACCATTCTAGGTCTCAAGAAGTCATGTTCTCATTAGAGGCAGAAAAATGATTAAGAAACTTGTCACAGAGGGTTTCTGAGAATATTAACTAATAAAGCACCTTCTATTTTCTGGAGGGGAGCAGTAAAGACTAAAATCATACAAGCAGCCTTCTCCTTTCTGAAAGGCTGATGTTGGATATTTCCCCATCGGAAAGGAATGCACCCTATTCCTGAATGGTAGCTCTTAGTTGGGGGTGGCTGGTGAACTCTGCCTGCACTGAGTCACCCCCTCCTCACTGGAGGCCTTGCAGCCGGGGAGAAGGGCCTTTCTTTCCCCTTCTGCAGGAGGTGGCCTGGCTAGGTGGGCCCCCCAGGGTCAGGAAGAAACACATAAATCACCCAAGGACCAAAAGAGCTGCAGATAAGCATTACCTATGTTTCTACAAATCAAAACAAACATGTTTGTTTGATGGGAAACCATCTCAGTATTTTTTTTAGATTAACAACAAAGAGGCAATGTAGTCTAATTTCACCAAAATTTATCGACCATCCACTAACAACTCACTTCTAGTCTAGGGCTATGGGCGTATGAATGGAATAAAATCCTAATCCTCGGATAGCTTACTCCCTAGTAAAAGATGTAAAGGTTTGTAAGCAAATAACTATAAGATAAATGGGTAGGAAATGTCTGAAAGGCCAGGGAGGTAACATGCCTCAACAAAGTTAGCTGAATGTAAGAGTAACAAAGTCCCAGAAATAGAACCAAACTCTTTAGTTTTGTGAAGTTATAGTGTTGGCATGTAACTTCATGTAAGTATATATTTGATGCCCATATTCTATATTAAAATGTTTCTGAAAAAGGAAAACAATTACTGCTATTTTTTCATAATTCATGATTGCTTTGCTTTGAAATCAGAAGCCTGACATCTATTGTTTCTGAAACAAAATGTCAATCGGGCCCTATACCTTTTCACAATGATATATAGAATGTAGCCTTAAATACTTAAACTGGGAGTGGTAGGTAGTATTTTTCAGATTTCTTTTAGAATAAAGCTTCTCCTTACACGTAGGCTCTTTCAACATGGATCACATCTCTATAAATGATTCTTACCAGTAAGGTGATCTTCAAGATATGTGTACAAGCTCAGTTTTCAACATTACTGTATTCAGTCTTCAGTACCATTTCGTACTACTGCTCAAGAACTTGCAATCATAGCCCTTCATTTGCACTATCAAAAATTAACCAAGGAAGATAAGCTAAATAATGCTAGTTTCTTTTCATAAAGTTTGTAAGCCAGTATTCGATGGCCCAATTGTGGAGAATGAATTTCAAGCTAGTATTTTCATTTCTGGAAACTGATTTCAACATGGGAAAGTGGACCACATTATTCCTAAACAAATGAATTTCCCAAAGCCTCTATTTTGTTGGGCCTGAGTGAAGTCAACGAACATTTGTACAAATACTTGCAAATGCCCATGTAGAAAAATATTCAAAAGGCATAAATGGGTTATAATATCAGTAAGAAGCTTGCAACTTTGTGCCAGTCGATGACGTGAACAGTTAAAAGAAATCTCTTTCAGTATCACAGCACAAGTAAGCCGGCAAATGTATCATCCAAACACTGACCTGATTTTGCTCGAAGATATGGAAGACTAATTACTTGTCCCATTTCAGCTTTGTAGCCCAAAGCAATTCCTAATGAGTGCTGAAATTAATGGACGTATGTATAGTGTCCCTTCGTAATAGTGCCACCTCCAATCTGTTGCTTGATAGACCCAACATCAGCCCTCCTCTCTGGGAAAGCCTAGTCTGCAGTAACACTCATAACTCAGACTATACCTCCGATGGACTGAGATCTTTCTCATCACGACATAATGATGTTGTGATGTTTTGCCTTTCAGGGACTCCTTCTCTGAAAGTTCTCTGATCCCTCCAAAATTCTCCCTACATCACAATAAATACAGCTAATGGTCTGCTCTTATTTACATCCGTGTTCTCATTTGCTGCAGTAGAAAGTATCACCAGTGATTGAACTTATCCTGAAAGTTCTCTACCATATTTTTAACATGCTGAGCTACAATGTTTCTGGTTACGCTAACGTTTGCAAATGCTTGTTTATGCTCTGGACACATAATTTCTGCTGCATTCAAAAGAAACTCTTATAAAAGCATTTGTCTGTAAAAAGGTTTTGATGCCCAGGCAATTTTTTCTTTAATAGAGAACTACATTTCACAGGAGATCGCTGATTTTCTTCTCATTGAAAAACACACGCGACTGTTTCTTCAGTCCATTAAGTTTTTCAGTGCCCATCTTTTCTGTACCTCCGTCATGGCTGGTTTTATTACAGTGCCTTAAGTTGTCATTTTTCTGGGCGCACATTCTCTGTTTGGATATCCTTCCCATTCAACCCCTCCAACCCCCACAAAAAGTGTGCTCCTATCTTTCTTTTTTTATACTCAATTCTCTTTTTTAGGAGATGCACAAGCTCATCTTTTTCTTAATTTTGCAGGACGAAAAATAGCAGTAAATGTGTAGTAGTAAATAACTGCTATTGGATTCCAGTGTTGGATCCAAAGGAAGGTGCATGGGCGCTCACTACCTAGGCAGGGCGTAACCCTTACACACAGGGCACTGCCTCTTCGGTTCAGGGCATGTCTGCCTTGTGGGGACACTAGTCCTCTGTTGTTAAGAGAAGCTGAAGTCAGACACTTTAAAGGGAAATTTTCTAAGTAGCTGAATGATGGTAACTTATTCAAAATGCATTAAAATACCAAGCAGGTCAACATCATTCTAGCCTGGCAAAACAAGTCTGCAAGCATTTGGAACCTCTGGGGATGGAGAGTGGGACAGGAAAATAATTTGTATCCTACTTTTGCTATGGCCCCTGAGAATAAAGAAAAGGTACAATTATATCAACGTGTTTCTGTGGAGTGTGGAATCCAAATGCTATAATTAATCTGGAAGTGTTCTCATTAGGCCGTGAGATACTGTGAAAAGGATGTCCTTCTTGAAGCCAGGCCTGTTTGGGGAATCCCGTATTTCATTTACTGGGTTGGCTGATGTTAGACTCCTCATCTGGAAGTAGGGATAATACAATGACTTTGTAAGTTGATGAAATGATTAGAGATCAAAGTATACACATTTCTCGGCTTACTGTGGGCATGTGTAAGGTGTGAGCATGGGAGCCATGACTGTTAGGAAATGCAGAACCTAAGATTCCAGACACAGGTCTTTGCCTGCCCCACACATACTGCTTGTGCCCTGGCTCTCACTCTTGCCACCCTGCCTCTCTGTGTCGCGTCTCCTCACTCTGCTGAGTGGCCCACCACAGCTGGTCAGCACACGCTGATGCTTCCACCCTCTAGCCTTCCCCAGGAATGGCTGTTCCTTCCTTCGTCATTCAGTTACCTCCTGTGCAGCTCAACCAAAATGTCGCCTCTTCCAAGAAGTCTTCTTTGACTGCCCCCTCCTACCAGTCCAGTAGAGCACTCCCTCCCTTACTGCCTTGTGTTTGCCTCTGTCTAGCCTTGTGCTATTATAAACTGTGAACTCCTGAGAGGGAGGAACTAGGCTGATCACCTCACCGTCCCCAGCAGTGGGTGCAGTGGGTGCAATGCCTTTGCCAGGCATGCAGTTTGGGCTAAAAACCAAAAAAATGGATCAAAAAAGGATGGTTGTGGTGACTGTAGACTTGCATCTGGAGAGCCCCCTCAGTCTGCTTCCTTCTTGCTTCTAAATCCAAATCTTTGGCTGCTGCTGCTGCCTCTCTCTGCCTGCCTTCCCAAACCTCACTCCAGCTCTTGCCTCCATCCCCAAACCAATGGAGATGTCCACTCTGGAGCAATAGGTTCAGTAAAACAGAGAAGGGGCTTAAGTGTCACCTCCTGGGGCTTGAAAGCAGGGACAGGAAGAGCATCTGAGAGGATGCCTTTTGAAAAGTAATAGGGAATCCAAAACAGTCCCTTGATGGAGGTTAAGAAGGGAAGAACCATACTGCAAGGTCTTACCTTCACGTTAGGAAATGGTGGCCTCATGTGCCTTTGCCCTTGTACCTTCCCAACTGATGGCTTCCGCAAAAATGTACGTGTAGCCAAAACGGGCTTCGTTACGCTGCACTCCTGCACACTAGTGATGATGGTCCTATCGCAGAAGGAAAATCATTTTGCAGGACAGGTCTGCCATAGTGTAGATGGGGCTGTTGAGTGAAGAAAGGGATCCCTTCCTCCTGAGGGATGCAGACCCTGCCGGGGTATTTCCCAAGGGGAGGAGGGTGGTTGGACTTCCTCCAGACACCCCACGTGCCTTTTATCCAGATACCTTTGTGAACAACCAATTGAAAAAAAAAAAAAAAGTGTTTTTTTTTTCTTGTTGCAAGAAAAAGTGTTTCCTCTTACATAATACTAAAAAAAACGTAGGGTGCATTGGATCGCTCGGTCGGTTAAGTGTCTGACTCTTGGTTCTGGCTCAAGTCATGATCTCACAGTTCATGGGTTTGAGACCCACATCAAGCTGTGTGCTGATGGTGTGGAGCCTGCTTGGGATTCTCTCTCTCCCTCTCTCTCTCTGCCACTTCTCCACTTGCTTTGTCTCTCTTAAAATAAATAAAGGTAAAAAAATTAAAAAGAAAAATGATTATGAATAATGTGCAAATATTTATTTTCTAGGAACATGGGTGACATTTGGAGGTCAAATTTCAGATGAGGTAAGTTACTTTTGACTTCCATTTTGCTGCTCAAAGAAAATGTAAAGCTGTACAGTGGGAGCATTCTTCCTGGGGTTCTGGCATTTTATAAGGGTAGTGTTTTAATCATGGGAAATGGTTAAGACTGAATCAAAGATTATTTTCAGTTTTCTCTTCTTGTATTTTTCACATTTAGACTATTAATAGCCCGTGGGGCTGTCAATCTATTATATGCGCAGGCTCAAATGTTAGAGAATAAACCAGTTTGGATCTAATATTTAGTAGCTTTATGGAAAGATTTCATTGCTGATGTGTGTGTGTTTTAGCTCCACCTACCATGACCAACTGGTCCTAGTTTGCAGGGACTTTCATTTTTAGTGTGGGATCTCTCAGTCCTGGACAAAGAAAGATAGTTGGTCACCTTGGCTTGGATAAGTTAATCCCACCTCTCTGAGCCTCAGTCCCTATGATGTAAAATGGGATGAAAAAGTTTACATTGGTGGTCTGTTGAAAGGACTAACCATGTTATAACCATCTTATACACATGAGATATTTATATAGCCCTTCGACTCGTAGGGACAGATACTCAGTAATGGCAGCTATAATAGTTTATTTACTGTAAAGTTCCTCTAAATCTTGGTTTATACATTCAGTGCTTACCAAAGTGATATTCTTATCATCCCCTTTAAGGAATATCTTCCTGACATAAGTGAGTCATGCAGGCATTGAGCAGCAATGATCTCCCCCAAGGACACTGTCCTCAAGTCCCTCCGATCCCTTTTTTGCCTACTTGCAGCACCACTGAGGAGTATGGGATAGCATGTCTGAGTGGATACGCTCGGTGGGATCCAGCCCACTCTGCCACCAGATTTACTAACGTTTACTAACAGTTGCCACATCTTTAAAACGCAGGTGAGAGCCCTTCTCGGCAGGATTGTGATTAAGATTAATGAGATGATGCCCATGGGTGCTTAGCCCAATGCCTGGCCCAGAACCAACTCTTTATAAAGGTAGCTCTTACTATCATTCCTAAGGAGAAGCGTGGGAGAACAGAGGGTCTTTCCCACAGCTCCCAAGGTCACCGGTGTTTTTTAAACAGATCCTGGGTGGCAAGGGGCAGAGTCTTATCTGTGCATTCTCATCTGCCTGAATGCCTGTCCCCAGGATTGGGCCTAGGTCGCCACCGAGCGCTGGTCCCGTGGGGGATTCTTTGGAAGGTAGACTGCACTGGAGATGACCATACAGAACAGTTATTAGAAAATTGGGCCATGATGCAGCCTCAACAACGACCACACCTGACCCCACAGGGTGCCCCACGGCTGAGATGGCCCTGCAAAGTTGTCCCAGGTTGGGACAAGAGAACTGAGTATTTATATCTTTCGTTTGATTGGTCATTGGAGGGAGGCCGCCCTGGGAAGCAGGTCTCACCTTGGGCCAGGTAGCCGTGTTTAGCCAAGTGCCTTTTCCAGAGAGAACCGACAGCTGCAGGCCATCTGATGGCAGCCCTCCCAGCAGCGAGGGGCAGAAGTGCTTCCGTTCTGAAGGAGGATCTGGGTGGCCACCATGGGGTTCATCACGGGGCCCTCTGCCTGGCATCAGGTAGGGTGTGTGCGGGAGGCACAGAGGCAAGTCCACAAATACTGAAAAAGTGGCCACAGACTCAAGTCAGATACAAAGCAGGTGACAAGTAGGGGAGGGATCCAGCACGTGCACCACCTTCTACCACCCGTTGCGGTACTCGGAAAGAGAAACAGACAAAAATAGCTTTGTTTTAGGAGCAGACGGCCCCGCTGGTAAAGGCACCGTTCCCCCTGTCAGGTCTGCCCCCCCCCCCCCCCACACACACACAACATCTGCTCTCTGCTGCCATGAGCCCAGCTTGCCCAGAGTGTGCTAGGCTGGCCTCTGAAATACATCATCTCAAAACGACAGCTCCAAAAACTGTACAATAAAGCTGTCGTGAGTGGCTGCAGAGGCTCTCACCTCAGACGCAGACCAGACAAATGGCTACTGTCCTCCCAGAGAACAGCTGTGACTTCCCTCAGGTCCCCGCAGAGAGAAGGCCAGCAAGGAGAACGCAGGAAGGTATGGGGAGACCACAGTCCCGCCAGCAGCTGACTTGCCTGAGCTCAGCCATTTCCATGAGGGAAATAAACAGGCCAATAGCAATGAATTCACCTTGCTGAGTTTTCTGCCTTCTCTCTGCTTCACATGAGCTCAGCACAAAGCAGGTACAAATTTTGAATCCCAGGATGACCACGTTGTGATGTGCCGAGTGACATAACCATGAGTCCTGCCTCAAGAGGTGATGACGTCCCCATTACTGGGAGAATCCAACTGTGTATATATATATTTTTAAATGTTATATTTATTTCTGAGACAGAGAGAAATAACATGAGCAGGGGAGGGTCAGAGAGAGAGGGAGGCACAGAATCTGAAACAGGCTCCGGGCTCTGAGCTGGCTGTCAACACAGAGCCCGACGTGGGGCTTGAACCCACAAACCGTGAGATCATGACCTGAGCCGAGGTCAGACACTTAACCGACTGAGCCACCCAGGCACCCCAATCCAACTGTATATTAAATAGCCACTGGACAGGGATATTATCAAAAGGACCCAAATACCCCAATAGATAACTCCATGAGGTATCCCCCAAAGATGATTGGCTTCATTGTAAAACCAAGAGAGATGTTACTCATATAAATAATACCTGATAGCGCTCAGTTTTCAGAATTTTACTTAGATTTTCTTACCTATAAGGTAGTTAAGAGTTCCTTGTATTGTAGGTAACAATGAACCAAGTCAAATTGGTTTAACCACTATGGGAAAAGTTACCTTGATTTTCATTCTAGGAGTGTAGACATAGGGCAGGCTTCAGGGCGGACTCCATCAGTGTAGACTCCATCCGTGGCCTCATTGTGCTTCCCAGGGGGTCCCATGGCCCCGTGTTCCTTTGTATAGCGATCTCCTCCTCAGGTAGTTAAGATGGCTGTAGAAATTCTAAGCCTTACTCAGAACAGCAACTCTAGGGAAAGGGTGTTCTTCTAGAAACTGTGGGAACAGGGAAAGATGTTGCCAGAGGCCTCAGCATATCTGTCCCTGCATCTCATTGGCCCAGAGGTGTCACATGACCTTCCCTGAACCACTTATTCTCAGGCCCGCCATGCCACAATGGAAGAAAGGTGTCCACTTCTACTGAGCCCTGTTGGCTACCTGGAGAACATGAACAGAATCATCCTCATTTTGCAGATGAAAACGCTGAAATACAAAGAGGTCAAGGGTTTTGCATTTATCCAGTAAGTGGTACACTCAAGGACAGAAAACAGTCTTGTGAAGTCAGTGACTTCATTATTTCACATTTGGGTCTTTAGCTTTTATGGTTGGGAAACATTTTGGCCATTACTTAGTCCAACTTTCCATCCAGGATTCCCTACCTTAAAATGTCGCTCTAGATAATATTATGCCTCTTTCCCAATAATAATCCACTAGTAGGTGGTGTGACATAACATAAGGTGAACATATGATACAAGCACAGTAAGTTCTTAAACATAGGGCAATCATGATGGGAAAAACTATACTTGTCTTAACTTTCAATTTCTACTTCAGAGAAATGTCATCATGGTAGCAAATTAAAAGCAGTAATCGCTTGGGGCGCCTGGGTGGCTTAGTCGGTTAAGCGTCCGACTTTCGCTTAGGTCATGATCTCGCGGTTCGTGGGTTCGGGCCCCGCGTCGGGCTCTGTGCTGACTGCCAGCTCAGAGCCTGGAGCCNCGTCGGGCTCTGTGCTGACTGCCAGCTCAGAGCCTGGAGCCTATTTCAGTCTGTGACTCCCTCTCTCTCTGACCCTCCCCTGCTCATGCTGTCTCTCTCTCTCTCTCTCCTAGAAATAAATAAAAACATTAAAAAAAAATTTAAAAAAAAAAAAAAGCAGTAATCGCATTTTTGCTGCTAGTATTCTAAAGGATTGGCATGGACTCCTTTTTTTGCTAGCCTGATGATTGTCTTGATATGCCAATTTAAAAAATAACAGGACGATAGTTTATCTTGGAAATGCTGAGGAAGCAACCTTAGCCCACAATCAAAAACATAATGGAAAAATCAATTTTAATTATTTATGAGGTGTGTAATTTTTCAGTTGACCCATAAGTCTAGCAGCAGAATGGAAAAATGTCCTCTCTCCACTGCTACCCCTCCATAGCTCTCCCTCAAGCTGTTGTTTCTAGCTGCGCCCATACTCTTCTGTCACGCCTGCTCCTTGCATTCAGCAGCACAAAGGAAGGAACAAGAAGGTGCTTGGAGGTGTATTTGCAAGCTGACTAGTGGGGCACCAGATACCCGGGGAGCCAGCATGCTCACTCTCTCCTCTCAGACATTCCACTGGCTGGTTGCTCTGTGACAGTGGTTGGGGTTTTGCTGAGCTGTGGGTGACACCAGTTTTACAACAGTCATGGCTCTGTCTCACCTCTGATTCATCAGCACAGTCCACCAAGCCTAAGGAAAAAAGGCCCAAGCTTCTAGGTCTGGAGTCACCCAGCTGCTGCCACCTATTGGCTGAGAGAAAGGAGGAAGAAGAGAACTGAAGTCACCCATGATATAACCGACCCTCTTTGTCAGATGATGATGCCACAGAGCCTGTTGTCAGAACAGATCTTCCGAGGAGAGTGAGAGCCACAAATCCATCCACCTTACCTCACCATGCTTCTGAGGGCTGACTTATCCCCGCATTGAAGGAAATCCCGGGGATACTTTTATCCTATATAGGCTGGTAGAATCTTCTTCTTCTTCTTTTTTTTCCCATTCTTTTACAACTGATAAAAACAAGGAGTGAGATTTCAATGTTCTTAACGACCACCAGAGGATTCAAAGTTGCTTGCTTCCTAGGTTTAGCAAACATTTGGTTTTTCTGACTGACCTTCACACCCTCTTGCAGGTTGCTGAACGGCTGATGACAATTGCCTACGAAAGTGGAGTTAATCTCTTCGATACTGCCGAAGTCTATGCTGCTGGAAAGTGAGTCAGTCCCTGTTTGTGTCCCTCATGTGGTATTTCTGGTACCAAGAGTCTGTTCAGGGTATTGCTGTCACTCTGGTGAGAAGGGTCCACCCTTCCCACACACTTTGGTGGCATTGCTTTTCTCTCTTCCACTAGTCCCTGTACCAGAGCTAGGGGTACCGACTGCCTCTGGGCCCCTCTGCCCACCCAAACCATCCTATCCCTGGCCCCTATATGAAGAATGGATTGAAAACAATTGCCATGGCCTTCCTAAGGGGCAGAGGTGGCTGGGACCAGAGCAGTGGCAATGGAGCTCAAGAACTGGTAGTTGGACATATGCCAGGGTGACTCAGTCAGTTAAGTGTCCGACTTGATTTTGGCTCAGGTCAAGGTCTCATGGTTCTTGAGTTCAAGCCCCATGTTGGGCCTTGCGCTGACAGTATGGAGCCTGCTTGGGATTCTCTCTCTCCCTCTCTCTCACCGTTACCCTCTGTCCCTACCCCCTCAAATAAATAATAAACATTAAAAAAAAAAAAGTTAGTTGGATATAGGAGTGAGGAAATAAGTGAGCAGATTCCAGTGTAGTGGTTCAAAAGCTAGTCTTGCTGTTTCATAACCACATCTCGTAGTTACTCAACCGCTGAGGGGAACGGGGACGTCCTCTCTGCAGGGAACCAGGGGCTGCTTTTCCTGCCTGAAGGCCCATCCCTCCACCTAGCACAACAAGCAGATCAGAGGTTAAAGGAGGGGTCCTCCAACATGCAAGAAATTGAGTATATTTTGTTGGAGGGCATTTCAGACCATTTCAGACCGTATTCTGAGCACAGGGAAGACTGCAAGAGGGCCTTGCTGCAGAAGCCACACCAGCTACAAGCTTCCCACGGACCCGAGAGCAAGTTCTGGGCTCTGACACTGGGCTCACTGCTCAGTCCCACCATGTGGGGAACGTGCCCTCGGGGAGGCCTCAAGGTCCACGCCCTCCATGTCCTGGCACGAGAAGCACGTTTCAGAACAGAACTGGTGCACCTTGGCCACCTGCTGCCACCACGGGCAGACTGACTCGCGTAGCTCCCAGAAATGCTTGAGCAGCTCTGCCATCTCCCCCCAGGACTGTGGCGGCTAATTCCCCACAGGCCTCAGTCCCCAGCACCCCCTTCCAGGTGAGGAGCACGATCAAACTGCTGGACTTGTAGAATCAAGTTCATCGTTGCCTGGTCTAAGTGCGTTTTCCTCCCGTGGGTTTCCTCCTTTTCAACTGCAGATCTATGTTTGAGGCCTATCCGGGACATTCAGAGCCCACATCTCTGATATTTTCCGTTGAGTCCAAGGAGAAGAAATACAATTGATAAGGCCTTGCTCCCTTCCCACATCTTAGCCTTTCTCAGTGTTTTCTTCATTTCGTGAGTCCTGCTAAGGTTGGAAAAGGGAAGTCCTGTTTGTATTCCTATTATGATCGATGGTTGGTCCTGGTTAATTACTGACTGACTGTCTGGCGTGCACCTGAGCATTTCCCTCTGTGAAATGCAAGGTTGCAAAAGACAGCGTCAGAGACAGAGGGCCAGGGAAGAGAACACTGGTGTCCCGTCCCCTGCGTGTCTGTCTGGAGCATGCTCTGTAGCTACCCGGCAGCATGGCTGTGCACTCCAACAAAGACAGGACTTTCAGCTAAGACAAACCGTGGTTAGTGACGTTCCCCATCTATAGGACTCCAATGAACAAAGTGCTAATTCCGTTGATGTCTCTGTTCACAAAGCCTCTGAGAGCCCACCTGCATCTTACAACATTGATCTGACTGCCAGGGACCTAGAAGAAGGTTTTAGTCTCCTTAACCTTGGGTCCTAGCTCAGGAAGGTGGAGGGGAGAAGACAGTGGAGACGTCTTCGCTGTACCTCTCCACGACCCACGCCAGGGGCAGGAAGAACACTTTTCTACATCTCCTTGCACCTTCCTCCTGTGGCAACATGTGTCACTAGAACCCAGGATGTTCTCCCTGCCGGCCACTGCATCTGCAGCCCTAGACTTTGGGACATCTAAATGCCCACGTGGTTTGTTTTGTTTTGTTTTGTTTTGTTTTGTTTGTTTTTTCATCCTGCAAGATCACCCACAGCTCCATATTTTCTGTCTAAATGGGACAAGGTCTCATTGTCCTCCCTGGTCACAATTGAAGACCACAGTAACTAGAAGGGTAACCTTGACTCCCATTGGACTTCGCCAAGCAGGATATTTATAAATGGGATCAGTGGTTCAAAAACACCAAACTGCCAAATGACTCTGTTGTTTCTTAGTATGAGGACCACAGGCAGTCTCCTGCCAGCCTGTCAGGATTTGGCAGGTGCTTCTGGAATGCTCCAGGAGCAGGATTCTGCAGGCACAAGCAGAAACAGCGGAAACAGTGCCACTAGCCGAGAGCAGCTTCTATTTTGAGGACGTGTAGGCACGGAGAGTTCAAACAAGGAATGGCTCTCGTGTTTTTGGATTGACTCTTGTGTTTCCAGGACATTGTATCCTGAGCTATTATCTGTTTCCCTTCCAGGGCTGAAGTGATTCTGGGGAGCATCATCAAGAAGAAAGGCTGGAGGTAATGCATTCACCATAATCATGTACTTCTCTTTAAACAGACTGTTATTATTTTGTCCCAGAGAAGGAAAAATAAATTGCATAACAACTGAACAAAAGGCTGTCAAAAAAAGTCAATTTTTGGTAAAGAAATGATTTATAGTGGTTTGAAAATTACTTGTGCTTTAAAAAGTATTGACTCGTCATCGATCACAATGAATTACCTTGGGGTTGAGCAGAGAAGGAGGGGATGTTCCTGAGATACTCGTGCATAAAAGAAAGTCACATTTTCATGGTTCCTCACCACTGTTTGTGATAATTTGGTGAAGAACGGCAGATGATAGGAGGCTGATTATTTATACACAGGTACTTATGTTAGCTGTTCATGTTCACTGTTCGTTTTATTGACAACTCCTGATGCAAACAAGTGATGAAAAAAGAAGTCCTTGTGATAAATACCTCAAAGTTCTCTTATATGAACACAATTAGCCTGTGCCTCTGCTGTGTGCCAGAAGCCATATGATCTGGGCATTCGGGGAAGTGCTTCATCTATTGTCCTTGAGGGGTCACATCCCATTGCATCGCTTCCGTAGCCAAAGCCAGCGGTAAAGAGGAACGCCTCATCTGTGGAATGGCAATCCCCCTCCATTTCACTATGCGTGTCAACCATGACAGCCACTTCTTCCCCGCAGGAGTACAGAATCAGGCAAAGACCATGGCACAGGTCTGGGGTCCTCTCCCACTCTGGTAGAAGATTTGCCATTGGCCAAGTAAACCACAGCTCTGTAGTATTCGTGGAAATGGAAACCCAGAAATTCATGGAGATATGAACAAATGAAGTTTAGTGACCTACTTTCTCCCCCTTCCTTGTCCTCCTCCCCCACTCTAGGAATTGTAAAGGGATTAGGAAGAAACTATATTCAGCCTTAAACATGGAAGAATATTCACATCCCCGCCCAATCCTCCACCTTGCCTGTTACCTTCCCACTCACAAGGCTGGTCTGTCTATCACCGCCCAAATCACTTCCCTAGGGCCCCTGGAACACAGTGCTGCAAACTGGCTGGCTTCAGACAGCAGAAATGTGTTCTCTCCCGGGTCTCGAGGCCAGAAGTACAACAGCAAGGTTTGAGTAGAGTCGTGCTCTTTCTGCAACTCTGGATAGAATCCTTCCTTGCCTCTTCCTAGCTTTGGGCTTTAGCAGGCAATCTTGGGCATTCCTGAGCCTGCGCTCAACCTCTGCCTCCATCATCAGATGGTGTTCTACCCTCATGGGTGTCTGTGTGTCTTCTTAAAAGGACGCTAGTCATACTGGATTAAGGACTCACCCTTAATCCAGTGTAGCCTCATCACCTCATCTTAATTTAACTAATTACATCTGTAATGACCGTATTTCCAAATACACTCACTTTCTGAGGTATTGGGGGTTAGGACTTTAACACGTCTTTTTAGGGGACATAATTCAACCCATAACAGAGACCCTAGAGATGAGCCTACTAACAGCGCAGTGAGCTGTGCAGCGAGGTGGAGGCTGACGGAAGATAGCTGAGGGAGGAGGGGAGCGTCGGTATAGGAGCTCCTTCCCCTCAACACCCATAGGGCATCTAACCACCACTCTCCATGGTTTACAGAGCCTAGAATACACCTACAGAAAATGGATTAACATGCATTTTTTTTTCCTTTTTTACAAACTGCCTTTCAGTCTTACAAATAAAACCCAAGCTGTCACCATGCTACATAATATTGAAATCAGCACACAGCTGCCCATACAAGACTGGTGAAAAGACAGACCATATCATCATGGTATGGAGTCTATAAAAGCAATTCCAACTAGCAGACTTGGCTTCTAGTCCTAGGACCACCACTTGCCCACTGTGGAAGTTACTTCCCTTCACTGAGTCTCAATTTCCCCACCTGCAAAATGGACGGCATAACTGTTCATGAAGTGTTGTTCTGTTAAAGTGAGATAACATGTGCCAAAGTATTTTGAAAGCTGAGCTGTATTGCTATAAAATACTCATATTGTCATTCTCCACCACTCAGAAGAGTTGCTGGAAATGCCTCCATGATGGTCGGTGGTCACCTGCCAAGTTGCTGTCAACTCTTGCTATTTGAGCATACATGTTAGTGGGCACACCCATATTGCCCATTTTTCAGAAAGCCTAACTTTGGAAAAACAAGTCCATGATAGTATTTGTATAGAATCGGAAGCTTTGGTGGACCCAGCTGCTCTGAAAAATCCAGAGGACTGCATTCAATTTTTATAATGTTCCACCCAGCCTTTTGTGGAAGATGTGAAAATGTTTGCTAACGGAGCTCTGGCTCCCTTGTGGCAGATTGCTGTTACGCTAGGTATCGTGAGGTTGATGGATTAACCTGGAAAGTGCATCAGCCCTTCTGCGGTGTGTAATCTCCAGATGCACGTATCTGTAGAGCTTCCATTACAGTGATTCAAATTACTTTTCAGGGAATTAACTTCAGTGGGATGGGGTTGCTGACATTTCCTACAAATTTTTCTTGTTGCAGCTAAGCTGTCAGAATTGTCACCCTTGTTCCCCATTGGTTATCATTAATCTTGTGAGCTCTCATACCTGCGGGCCCCGCGGCACTGGCTCTACAGCTGATGGAATTATAAATGCCTTATTTCAAATACTCCCAAAGTTTGGTCTTCACCTTTGAATCTCAAATGGTTTTTTCTCCCCTAGACCAGTTCAATTGAATTACATACTTGGAGAAACTAAATTATACTGAGATCTGCCTCCTGATTTTAAACCGTATGACTGGAGTTCTCAAGACCTTTTTCTTATTCCACCATCATGATGAGACGATTGCCATTTCCTGCCCTTGGGTGTGGTTTTAAGAAGACAATTAGTTTGCTGACAAGATTTCCACATTCCATTCCCTTAGAAACAAAGTGGTTAAAACCTTGTGTTAAAAATCGTAGGACTGTTTTCCTGAAGTAACATTTCCACTTAATAAAGGCACTCAAAGAAATTTTATTCCTGTTTATTGATTCTTATAGTTGACTTTATCATTCGTGTTTCTAAGCAATCAGTTCCTGCCTGAATGTGACGGTTGGAAAGCGTAATAACTCAGAGCCACTAGGGCCCATGGTCCTTGGCACAGGGTGGACTTTGCCCCAGGAGAGCTCACGCTCAATCAACGTTATGTCAGATGCTAAATAAGTGTTAGCTGGTGCTACTAAAGCAATCCGTCCTTTTTGCCAATGCATTCCTCCTCTCATTTACCACTTCTGCCCCTCCATGCTTACCAGTCACCCTCTTCACCACACCCTCCCCATCCGCGGCTGGTGTCACAGCCTCCTCCTCCCGTGCCTCCAGGCGTAGGTCACTCCCCTACTCACCTTCAACCTCTTTGCCTAGGATCTGACTTCACGTCCCCTCTCACCAGCTTTCCCTGGTCCCAATATTTCAGGGACATGAATGAACTAATTCACCTCTTTACCAATTTTTTTAATGGGCAGTACAATAAACTCTTTCTGATGCTATAATATCCTGACTCTGTACCATAACCAACAATTTATTGAATATTTCTGTTTGTGTAACATACAGGAGGTCCAGCCTGGTCATAACAACCAAACTCTACTGGGGTGGAAAGTAAGTTAAATACCTATTATTTTCCCTCCTTGACAGGAAACAACTAGTAGTTCATGCTTTTATCCTTTTGGGCAACCATTTTACATCTAACGTACTAAAATTCATTGGTATGGGGAGAAAAAGTATTTTTTCTGCCTTGAAGGAAATAACAATGAGCCTAGGATTCAATTTTAGCCAGATGCCCCAAAGAAATTTAGTGGTCACTTGTTACTAAGTGATTCGTGGAGATTTTCAAATACCAACCTCATACTAAGAACCATTTCCAAAGTAGAGTTCAAATTTTGGGCAAAGAAAATAAGCACGTAGCATCACAGAAGAAAAGCTCCTCAAACCTGCCAAAAGTCAGAGACTTCCATGGAATGCAAAGATAAAAATATCTTGTCTGGCTCCACATGTAAGTCTCTGATCATTTCTGCAGAAGGCTCTGAATGTGTTGATCAAAAGGACCGCCTTTTGGAGAATAACAGAAGCTACTATATCACTCACTGGCAGGCAAATGAAAGCGAGGTCCGCTCTCTGTTGTGGGATGCAAACAAATTTCACAAGATGAATTGGCATCTGATGAATCTACTGGTGTTTGAACTGGTATTTACATGATTCAACAGAACTTAAAAGTCTGACCTTTTTGACAAACATGTAAGAAAACAGCAAGCTATTTCATATACCTTTTTGTGGAAATCACAAATACGAAGTCTTAACAAAGAAACAATAAAAAAACGCCAACAAACCAAACCTTATTTGCCTCCCTATAACTGAGAGGGAATAGTTAAAAACAAAATTGAAGACAGAGGACGTCTCCTTTGGAGTCTTCTAATCAAAATGTGTATGTGTATACACAGATACACACACTCATATTTTATTGCTGTTTTTGAGCCTGTTTATGATGACTATGAACAGAAAGATGGAATTTAGACTTTATTACTACTGTAACCTATAGAAAAATAAAGCAACATGGTGCCTATGAGAAATCTAGATTTACGTTGTCTGTGCCCTAATTTATGGTGCTATTGTTTAGTGCAATGGTACTTAAAACCTTGCCTATACTTTAGAAATAAACAGAGAATAAGTTAACATACAAGAGCCATTATGTAGTAGAGTACTGCATACAATAATATTCAATGTTTTTATAAAAGATACAAAATCACCAAAGGCAAATGGTAAACTACCATGTTTTAAAAAGAGGTTGCAAAAGTATTGACATTAAAGAAACATTTCATAAATACTTTAAAATACAGGACTGTATTTCTTCCTAATTGACCAGATCTTGAAGCTTATCTGAGAAGAAAAAAGTCCTAGTTAAATGTTTGTCTTCTTAGGATACTAATGTAAGAGGGGCGCCTGGGTGGCTTAGTCGGTTAAGCATCCGACTTTCGCTTAGGTCATGATCTCGCGGTTCGTGGGTTCGAGCCCCGCGTCGGGCTCTGTGCTGACTGCCAGCTCAGAGCCTGGAGCCTCTTTCGGTCTGTGACTCCCTCTCTCTCTGACCCTCCCCTGCTCACGCTGTCTCTCTCCCTCCTAGAAATAAATAAAACATTAAAAAAATTTTTTTAAAAAAAGGATACTAATGTAAGAGAGACTTACAACACATTTTAACAAAAAGTAATTATTAAGTTTCTCTTGAAAGTCAAAAGGCACTTCCAAATTTGATTATCTTCTCAGAAAAGCTGATATTATCAGCAGCTCACAAACGTATATCAAGGTGTTTTTTTGGGGGGGCGGTCAGGGGGGTTGATTAAGACTAAGGAAGGAAGGCTAAGCCATGTGTCACGTTATATGCAGATGGGGTGTATGTGGCTGAGTTGTTATTAATATTGTGTGATGAGAGTCATGGTCAATTCATCACCTGGGTCTCCAAAGAAAAGGGGCTCAGTGTGTTGCCCACCAGCCTCCTCTCCTCAGCCTGTGGTATAGAATTTGCCAAGAACAGGGTATAAAATTAGCAATTCAATCTAGAATGAGTATTCCTCTGTACTTTTGAAATGGCAATTTAAAAAAAACACACTGCCACTCAAAGTCATTTGCTTCTTTTTCTTGTTAGGGCTGAAACGGAAAGAGGGCTGTCAAGAAAACATATTATCGAAGGTAGGTACAGCTGCTTCCATTTTATTCTCAATTGCGGGCTGCTGATTCAAGAAAGGCATCAACCAAATAGGTTCAAAACCCACTGGGAGGGGGAAAAGCTCTATAAAAAGAATCACAACCAACAACAATCTTTGTGGGGTTTAATGTAGGAGTGTGGTGATATAGAGAAGACAATGGGAACATAAAGAAAAAAAGGCAAATTTTCTAGAACTCGTCTTATTTACAGCTGGACTAACATTAATAAAACACTTCCCTAAGACTTTCTAAAAGGTTTTAATTGAGATGTAAGTTACATAACATGAATTTTGTCCATTTAAAGTGTATAATTTATTGGTCCTGAGCACAATAACAGAGTTGCGTGATCATCACAAATTCAGTTTAAAACATTTTCATCACTCCTAGTACCTACTCGCAGTCAGTTCCCTCCCTCTCCCTACCCTCGTTCACAGCCCCAAGTAACCACTAATCCACTTTTATCTCTCTAAACTCGCCAATTCTGGATATTTTATATGAAAGAGATCATACAGTGTATAATATTTTGTGATGGGCTTTTTTCACTTAGCATAATGTTGATATTGTAACACGTATCAAAACATGTATCATTTTTACTGCCAATAAACATTCCATTGTATAGATATACCCCATTTTGTTTATCCATTTGTCAGTTGATGTACATTTGGGTTGTTTTCATTTTTTGACTTCTGAATAATACTGCTATGAATATCTACGTACAAGTTTTGAGGTGGATATATGCTAAGACTCTGATAGCTTTATCCTATTTTAAATTTTTATTCTTTAAACATTTGGTAGAATTCACCTGAGAAGCCATCAGGTCCTTTTGTTTGTTGGGAGTTTATTGATTACTGATTTAATTTCTTTGCTAGTAATTTGTGTGTTCATATTTTCTATTTCTTTTAAATTCAGTTTTGGTAGGTTCTATGTTTCTAGGAATTTATCCATTTCTTCTGGATTGTCCAGTTGGCTGGCATAAAATTTTTCAAGGCTTGGTGGTTCTTAAAGAATGATATGCATTTTTTAAAAATTGTAGAAAATTACACTGAGTAACTGGTTCAGTGAGCCATTGCTTTTGTAATTGTACTGAAACCTTTGTAGAGCCTGGAAATGAACAGGAAATAGTACAGTCTTCTAGAACTCTTATGTAGTAGAGTACTACTCTACTTCATTGGGAAGATTATAAGAACTGTGAGGAATTTTTATGTATTTCTTGTTTGTTTGTTTGTTTTTTTAATTTTTATTTATTTCTAGGAGAGAGAGAGAGATAGACAGCTTGAACAGGGGTGGGTCAGAGAGAGAGGGAGACCCAGACTCTGAAACAGGCTCCAGGCTCTGAGCTGGCAGTCAGCACAGAGCCCGACGCGGGGCTCGAACCCACGAACCGCGAGATCATGACCTAAGCGAAAGTCAGACGCTTAACCGACTAAGCCACCCAGGCGCCCCACTTGTTTGTATTTTTTTAAAAAAATGTTACACTTCAACCTTTTGCAATAAAAGAAAGATGTTAAATAAGGCTATATAAATCCAAGGGTTTTTTTTTTTTGTTTTTTTTTTTTTAATCCAAGGTTTTTATAACTTTAGAGTCATGATTAATTATTAAGACAGATGATTTTTCTTCTTTTTATAATTAGTTTCACTTATGAAATACCAAAGTCAACAAAAACATGAAATACACTCTAATCTCACCACTTTAAAAATAAAAACAAAGAAGTCCTCCTTTTGCTTACCTCATCTCATTCCACAGTGTGACAGTCTGGTACACGTCCTTCCCAACTTATCCCAACAGTTAAATTTATCTATCTATCCACACTTATAAATACAAAAACACAGGTATGAAACCAGTGGAATCAAGCTATACATATTAACCTGAAGTTTACTTTTTTCCAAAATTAAAATACATTTTTAGACATATACACACCCACATACACATGCACACATACACATGATTTGCAGGTTATATCTTGGTTTTAGTGTTACAAAATACCATACAAATGGCTGCCCTTATGTATATGTGATAGATACTGGAAGCAGCATTGTTAAGTCAAAGAAGAATGCATGTTTTAAATTATTTTCTAAAAAGGAATATACCAATCTGATGGATGAGTTCATTTTATTTATTTATCTAATTATACATTTATTTATTAATGAATTTCAGCTACTTTTTAGAATTTTGTGCTTTTTCTAAGAATTAACTTTTCATATTCTTAAGCTTTTTTTCTTTTGAGTTACTCGTTTTGATCTTATTAGTTTTCAGGAGCTCTTTGTATATTAATATTGTTCACTTCTGTTAGTTACATATGTTGTAAATATTTTCTTCCAGACTGTCGTTTCATTATAAAGTTTCTTTTTTTCCCTCCCCATAAACTTAATCTGAAAGATAATATTGAATGTGAAGACATTCACCCCAGTTTAGAAATTGGAGATTTTTAGTAACATATAAAGAGAACTACTTGGATAGATTTTAGACTTCCACTAGGGGAAAAAAATAGTTTTGGTCTTCAATCATTTAATTTAAAAAGGAGAATTTTGGAGTGACTGGCTGGCCCAGTCAGTGGAGTATGTCACTCCTGATCTCAGGATTATGAGTTAGAGCCCCACATTGGGTAGAGATTACTTTAAAAAAATAAAAATTAAAAAATTAAAAATTAAATAAAATAGAAACTTTTTGAAGCCAGATTTTGGAAAATATATTTATATTGCATATATTTAACATTAGATATATATAATTTGTTAATAGTAATTATTATATCACTATTAAGAAACAAATTTGGAATCAGTAATTACTATATTACTATTAACAAACAAATTTGGAATCAGTTGTTTCCAAAGTTTTTGTATGAGTCTGGTATTTCTCACTAACTGATTTTTAATATATTTCTAAGCATTGGGCTTTGAAGCCAGACAAACCGTGGGTCAAGTCTCAGCTTCGTCATTTATGAGCAAAGGGACTTTGTGCAAGTTACTCAACCTTACTAAGCCTCCATCTCCTTCATTATATGATGGGCTATAAATATTCCTACTTTGTGACATTACTATACAGAAACTGAAGTTAGAGAATTCACATCGAGCACAATATCTGTCACATAATAAGCACTTAATCAATGTTACTTTTGTCATTAGTATCATCATTCTTAACAGTGCCACTGCTGGTCTTCATACCATGGAGAAGTGCACCCTTTACTAAGTAACGTTCTAAGGCTGCCACAGTGAATAAGCACGTTCTAGCACCAGAGAAAGCTTTCACATTCCTAAACCAAACAAAATCCTTTCTTAGGCCTTAGTGCCCAACTTGACATTGCATGTAAAATCCAGCCTGCCTCTTGAAACTATTAGTATTCCTGCCTAGCACTTGCCCCCATGACTTGGGTCATCTACCGTGACATCTGTCCATAAGATGTAACTGCCCCCTCTCAAAGAGAAATAACTCATGTAAGCTTGTTGTACTAAGCTGAAAAACAAGGCAGTCGTGTGTTGCCTGGAACCTTCTTGTTTCTCTTTTCTTTTTAATCTAGTTAAAATTGATTAAAAAGGAGATTCAGAAAATGGTACAGGATGGTAATCATCAGAGAATATAAAGTCAAGGAAAGAAAGACTGGAGAAAGTTGCTGTGCTTTTTACTGCCTCTCCATTGCTTTAATATTTACCAGTGTGTCCATAATTTCAAAATTTTCTTTTTTTAAATCAGTTTTCTGCAAGCCCCATACAACTTAATAGAAATACCTTAAATTCTCTGTCCTTTTAAATAAGTCAGGGATTCTCTTAGGAACTAATCAATCTCTCAGGAGGGGTAAACCAGTTCAGCTGAAAATTCAAAATGACCCAGATTTAAACTTTAACACGTTTGAAACTTCTGAGACTGAAGAAGAATTGGGATTATTTATTAGTATGCTGTTACTGTTTATTTTGCAGGGCATAACTTCAGCCTAAGACAAAGATGCTCATGAGTCCAAGAGTCAGCTGAAAAGGATATTTCTAGGCAGTTTGATATTAGGGAACTGAATGAATTTTGCAGAAGAAAAAAAGAGGAGTGGGATTTCTAGGCCCCAAATAAAATTTGAAGAGGTTTACAAATCATTATCCTTGGATTTCATTGCTATTTGTTTTGTGATGAAGCAGACTTTATTAAACATTGGAGATTCATATGCACATTAAATTTAGAAAGTGTTCTTAGAGCTTAAATTCATATGCACTTTAAAAAGTGTTTATCAACTGATGAATGGATAAAAGTGTGTGTATACACATATACATATACACAATGAAATCCTACTTGGCAATGAGAAAGAATGAAATCTTGCCATTTGCAATAACGGATGGAACTGGAGGGTATTACACTGAGTGAAGTAAGTCAGGCAGAGAAAGACTGATATCCTATGTTTTCACTCAAATGTGGAATTTGAGAAACTTAACAGAAGACCATAGGAGAAGGAAAGGGGAAAAGATACTTTCAAACAGAGAAGGCAAAACATAAGAGACAAATACAGAGAACAAACTGAAGATGGATGGGAGGCAGGGGGCAAGGGGAAATAGGTGATGGGCATTGAGGAGGGCACTTGTTGGTTTGAGCACTGAGTGTTGTATGTAAGCAATGAATCATGAAAATCTACTCCCGAAGCCAAGAGCACACTGTATACACTGTTTGTTAGCTAACTTGACAAGAAATTATAATTTTTAAAAAAGTGTTCTGGGGCAACTGGGTGGCTCAGTTGGTTAAGCATCCGACTTCAGCTCAGGTCATGATCTCACAGCTCCCGAGTTCGAGCCCTGCATCAGGCTCTGTGCTGACAGCTCGGAGCCTGGAGCCTGCTTCAGATTCCGTGTGTGTGTGTGTGTGTGTGTGTGTCTGCCCCTCTCCTCACTCGCTCACTCTCTTGCTTGCTCTCTCTCAAAAATAAACATTAAAAACATTTTTGAAAGTGTTCTTAGAAATCAGGACAGAAGTTCAATTCATGTAGAGTTCAGGCCACTTTAATGCTGCGTGACCTTGGCCACCTGAGCTGGTTTACAGAGTGTCAAATGAGCTTGACTTGTATATAATGCAGTTTTGAAAAATTTCATATGAAAAACCCTTTTCAGGGAGCTCACGATCCTTCACTTGGATCCAATTAGGAACAACATATTTCTTGGATTCACAAGGAGGAAAAATTTCACTAATAGGTTATTATAGCCATTTAGAATCCCAAGGTCCTATCAAGCTTTGAAGTTCTTTTCATTCAACCATTTCACAAACACTCTTGAAGGCCCGTTTTTTGCCAGTGTTAACATTTAGCAGATCAAATTTCCTTAGTATATTATATGAAAAAATATAATAGCTTGGTAAGTCAGATAATAAGATTATGTCAACTGTATACTTTCACAGGGAAAGGCTGTGTCTCAGTGTATGTTTGTCATCTAGATAAATGACAGTTTTGTTATAGGATTCAAAACACAAACCCACTATCATTTAGGAGTAGGAGACGAAAATAATCTGAGAAAGTATTGCTTAAACCTTTTTAATGAATGGCAAATGTTAAACCTAGTTATCTGAACTTTTCTTTTAAAAACATGACTTTTTCAATTAAAGATTAAATTTCTTAATGGGTGGATTCACCATTCACCACAAATTCCTTCCCAGTGTTCCATGTGCATACAAAACTGAAGTCACCCACTCAGGATAACCGTGTTTCATAATGTGAGGTGCAGCCACATAGATTATTCTGATACAGCACAGTACTTATACAAATAACCAGACATGTCTTAAATCATGACTGAGAGGTCTGCCAAGAAGAAGGTGGAAAATTATATAGTGAAAGGGTGGCCATCATTGAAGGCAGCATTTGTTTTTCAAGCTAGAAAGGAAAGCAAGTGTGTGGACACAGCGTGTTTGAGTAGAACCCTCAAAGAATCTCCAAACTCTGAATCTCCTTGTTTCTACACAATTCAGCGGGCAACACTGAACATCTGATCTTCCTCTGACCATGCCAGTGTGCTTAACATCTGGAGTGAGCATATTTCTTTAGATGCCTGTGCAACAGGCTTAAATTGAATTAAAATTTCCCTTATGAACAATACAGTTCCTGTTAATCTGCAGAACCCAAAAGGGAAAAGAGCTTAGATTTCTTTTTTCACTTGAAAGCTATTTTCTTTATATATCATAATTTATTAGCCTGCGGACTTCTGAGGAATTGCCAGTTAACTTGTAAACATCTCAGGGACAGGGAGCTTTTCTCCTGCTTCTCCCGTATTCGCTTCCACAGACGCTGGGTCGGTGCCGAGGGACAGACTAAAGCCAAAAGTACCTTCAGCAAGTGCATTCACTGCACTGGTGCACTTATCTCCCTTAAGTTATGATTAGCTGCCCGGATGTTCCTCTATAGCCAAGGTTAATGTATTTTTGCACGTCTACTTAAACTTAAAACAATACCTGGCCCCAAGCCAGTGCTCCACAAACATTTGCTAAGTGGAGCTAGAACATGACTATTTGCTTATTGGAAATAAACCCTAAATGGCTTTCAAGGAGACATTTGTTGAGCCTGTCATTATATTGCTACAATGTAACTATTTCTATAATATTAAAGCATCCAAATGAGAAAAGACAGGAGGGCCTGATTTGGTTTGTCGTCACGTGAAGCATTAAAGCAGAAAGATCGTTTAACTCCATTTTGTCTTTGGACAGATGAAGAAACCAAGGCCCAAAGAGGTTAACAGGCCTAGGCAAGGTCATTCAGGCCAGCTGACTCAGTACCCTGGACCCCAAACCCTGTGCCTCCCCTGCACATAGACCTTGCCTGTGAACGCCAGGCTGGTCCACCCAGCTGCCAAGAGCGCCTTGTGCTTCACTGATGTGTTGCTCAGACTTACGTGGCTCTGACCACAGCTCCCACCAATCTGATTTCCCCAACTTCCCTGTCTTACTAACAGTCACCTCACTTTTCAGGCCAACAATCTAAGAGTCATCCTTGATGCCTTGACCTCCACACTCTGTATCCAGCACAACAGCAAGTCCTCTTATTTCTACTTACACAACTTGTCCAGAGTTTGGACACTTCTTACCAACTTGGTGACCTGCTCACTGGCCTCCCTCCCTGCTTTCACCCTTGCCTCCGACAGGTCATGCTCAGCAGGCCCATGACCAGCTCAGACGGAGATTTGATAATGTCATCTCCCCTGCTTAACTGCTATTTCCCCGTGTCCCAACCCCTTACCAATGATTTTCCATCTCACAGAGAGTAAAACCCAAAATTTACACCATGGATTTCAAGACTTTATATGATTGAGACTTTCAAAGTTGGGGACAGGATCTCTGAGAGATACAATCTCCTCCCACTTCACTTCAAAGTCAGAGTGGGAGTTCAGGCGGATCACTGACATGATGCAGCACATCATTTCCTATATTCTCACATGAGTACACTTGAATCTTGGCCTAAATATCAAGAAAAAAAAAAAATGCCTTCCAGAGAAAGAATTGAGAGGCAAGGAATGACGAAATACAATGAGACTGACCTTCATATCAAGTTCATGCCATTATTAATGGGTACACATTATTACCTTGAACAATGAACCCATGCCAATAGATGCTCTCACTATGCTCTGCTTGCTCTTTGGAGATAAATACAGTGTCCATGCATCTTTATACTTCCAGAGCCCAGCACCGTTTGAGGATCAAATTGGGATTTAGCACGTGCTTCGGACATGGGAGAGTAAATGACTCAAGTCATAGCCCTACAAAGGGGCCAAGCCAGCCAGAGCTTTTTCTCCTAGAGAGTTCTGCCCATGCTGAGCTGTTGAGAAGAGCCACCAAGTGATAGGGCCATTATCAGAAAGGAGGACACTTGTTTCCTGTGCCAAGCATAGGCCAGAACTGTCACTGAATACCTCCCTCCAGAATCAGGAGGCCCACTGAAAATCTTTAGCATTTAGTCTTCACCACCTCTGATTCTGAACCTTTCCAGATATGAGCACCACTGTGATAATTGCCACATTTCTATAGACTATTGCGCTAACAAAGTGCTTGACAGCTGGTTTTATTTGCTCTCTGGAGTAGTGATCCTGAAGGTAATAAGTATTGTTATCTTCGCTGTAGATTAGAGACCTGAGTCACACACACTCACACACAGACACGCACATGCCAAAAGAAAAAAAAAAAGGTCAAATAACTCGGGTTGAATCATACAGCATGCTAGAGCACAGATTTCCAACCTTTCCAACCTGTGATACCCTATTATTTGTTCACTTGGTTATCCTGTCCTCCCCTGACTTCCTCCATATGCACGATTGCTTCCAAAAAGTGGCTTATATCATAGTGCTTTTTAAGGTAAATTTTATTTCAAGATGTCCCTTGAGAAAGCTGGTGATAATCCGGGCCTGAAAGTCACCGCAGGTTTTTGAGAGCAGGCATTGGAACTTATCACACCTGGGTGCCCTAATCTATTCATCAACCCTTCTTTTAAGAAGCCACCATCAAAGACAATCATCTCTCAATGAATGGAAAATATTTCCGGAACTATATCCAACCACTTCATTTTCCTGTCAGAAAAGTAATTGTGGCTGGCTGGTAAACCAGTTTGAAAAATCAAATTTAAATGAGCCAAATTTAAATGTATAAGAGTCTCATTTAACATGCAATTAATTTTATGCCTATAATAAAAACAGAAAAACCACCGGTCTTCCTGAGGAATTTAACAGGCTGATAAGGAAATGCTGTGCTTCATGGAAATGAGATAAAATGATTCTTGAACTGTCATCCTTTTGGTTGCATAATATTATATACAATGCTTTCTATTTCAGGGAAGTATTAATTTTGCTGAAATTAAATAATTTTTTTTCTGCCTAGTCCCGGGAATGTAACCAAATGGTTAGGGCTGGAACTTAGATTATTAGTTCCAGAATTTTTTTTTAAACTCTCACTCTCTCCTTTATATCTCCTTTATAAGTCTTTATAGCTTCTAGCGTTTTTGTTTCTTCCCCAAATAAAGGGGAATAATAGAAATGGTAGAGCTCAGCTATGTTTAAGGTTCTTCAAGCTTTGTTCCAATTAGTAAAATGTTGAGCAAAACCTTCATTTGCCAATCCTTTGATTCTGTTACAATCCATGTGTGTATTAAGATGGGTTTGGCAGTCACTTATTTCTGATTTATACCACTTTAATATTTTTGATGTGCAAAAAATCTATCCCATCCCACTTTTCAAGAAGAAAGAAGTTAAACTCTTAGGTTACTTATTATTCTAAACTTTGCTTCTAGATATTGCCATAGATGAGTCACTATGAAAGATCATTACGGAGTATTGGTTTTTCAGGTGGGGAAGGAGTACTGAAGCTATTGAGAAAATTGCAAGTCTCTTCTGTGTTAAGGACAAAGTCAGCCTTTGAGATCTATATCTATATATTCTAAATGTTTATTTCGCAAGAGAATGTGCAGATGAGCAGGGGAGGGGCCGAGAGAGAGGGAGAGAATCTCGAGCTGGCTTCAGTCTATCAGCACAGAGCCCGATGCGGGGCTCTATCCCACAAACTGACATCATGACCTGAGTAGAAATCAAGAGTCAGATACTTAACCAACTGAGCCACCTGGGCACCCCAATATATTTTTTAAAGGTTCTAGGGGCCAATTAATATGTCATTGTATTCCATGTCTTTTTGAAACAAATGCGGTGCTTTTTTTAAGGTTTTTTTTTATTTAATGTTGAAAGAAGAGAGAGAGCACAGGCACATGAGCAGGGGAGGGGCAGAGAGGGAGAGAGAGAATCCCAAGCAGGCTCCATGCTGTCAGTGCAGAGTCAGATGTGGGTCTTGATCTCACAAACTGTGAGATCATGACCTGAGTCAAAGTCAAGAGTCAGATGCTCAGTGGACTGAGCCACGCAGGTGCCCCCGTGCTTTGTTTTTAAAGTAAATTTTTAAAGGAAACCAAACTTCAACTATTTCTAATAGTTTTTATCACACTTACATTTTTGGGGTTTTTCCTGCCTCTGTTCCCAGGACTGAAGGGCTCCCTCCAGAGGCTGCAGCTTGAGTATGTGGATGTAGTCTTTGCAAATCGCCCGGACAGCAACACCCCCATGGAAGGTGAGTGACAACATTTGATAAAAGACTCTAAAGTTATTGATCTAAGCTTGATGACTTCTTTCACTAATGGCAGAAAATGAACCGTATTCAGACTTATTTGATTGAATATGGAAAATTAAAACCTTTCCAGTTGATGCCTTTTGGCCTCTGTTTACCCTCAAAGCAAAGCTCTGCATCCTTCATCTCCATTCATTTTGTAAGCAGTCCCAGGTATCGGGCTTGCGGCTCCTGCCCATTACAGTGCTCACTTTTTCCAGGTTTGTTTCCCTTCTGCTATTTCATCAACTAAACCAATAAAATTAATTGGAAGGGGAGTTTATAACCCAACCATCATTATATTGGAGGAAGTCCCCTGATGATCCTTCTCTTTTGTAATGACTAGGTCTGATTAGCTTCCAATTTGTGGTAACAAGTGCTCAGTGGTACCATGAGCAGAGGTTTTATAAGAATGACTACTTCAAAATGAGACTCTTCATTGCAATTTGGGTTTTGATTCTCAAGGAGCTACAACATTTTGTTGCCTTTCTGTTACAACTATTTGAAGACAAAAGTCAGGCATCTCCCTGAGGAAAATTTGAGAATGTTCCTAAAACTAAGTTTTTGTCAATTTACATTTGTTTATGGAGCCTACCTAAGATGAAGGAGAAAGAAGACAGTTTGGGAGGACAAATTAATAAGAATGTTCTAGTTAACTGAGATTTACAGTCATGGATTAGATTTACCTGAGGTGAATGAGAACAAAGATATTTGGGGGGGGGTGGGTAAAAAGTCATTTGAGGTTTACAATATGACATACATTTGCACATTTTCAAGGACCTAGAGTATAGTAATCAACAAAAAATTACACTGAAGATAATTCATCCTTGATGATTCAAAAGGTAATCCAAGATCTTGTAATAAATCAGGTTCTGTAAAGGGCGTTTTTTGCTGTAGGGTTATAGAAGTTATTGAGGTTCCAAGTGATTGTACATACGAAAGTATATCTGAATTTTTTTGTAGGTTGCATTTCTGACAAAAAAATATTAGGGAAATTATCTTCCTTGCCATTTATCTCTTGTTCAACTACAGAGAAATGTTAACATATATATGTTTATACATCTAATTTTCTCCTAGAGTTTTCCACTTTTTTGATTCGGAGAAAATCAGTTTATTATAAAGCAATAGCAGTGCTGGAGATTCCTAAGTGTATAAGTGGCTCTGTTGGTTAAGTGTCCAACTTCAGCTCAGGTCATGATCTCAAGGTTCATGGGTTCGAGCCCCACATCAGGCTTTGTGCTGACAGCTCAGAGTCTGGAGCCTGCTTCAGATTCTGTTTATTTTTCTCTGTCTCTGTGCCCCTACCCCACTGATATTCTGTCCCTCTCTCTCAAAAACAAATAAACATTAAAAAAAAATTATCCCTGGAAATGACCTAGAAATGCATAGTTTTATTAAAGTAAAGAATAGGTATTTCTTAAAGCAATCATAAACATCTTATTAGTGTAAGAAGTGCTCATTGCAAGGATAATATGATGCCACACTCTTCTCAATGACACATTAAAAGAGAACACTAAAGCTATCTGACGAACAAAAGCATCAAATAAAATGCCGTTTAGTGGAGCCTGTGAAAGACTGAAATTGCTTCCCATTTTAAGTGTTTGGTGGCGCTCTCTTCCTCTTTGCAATCATACCACGTTTAGGATAGAAGAACATCTGGGATAGAAGAACATCTTTTTTTTTTTTTTTTTTTTTGTGCATGTGCCCATTTTACCCACCCTACCCTCATGTCTAATTTTAGAGCTATAATGCAGGAGTCGCTCAAGCAGAAAACATTATAATTTGGATTTTCTACCTCTAGAAGGGAGACGTTCTCTATTAGGATCTAAGCTATGTGATACCAGTACAATAATGGTGCTTGTTGTATGAACACTGATTATGTGTTGAAATTTATTAGAAGGGAGCTTCAGAATGTTAACATTAAAAACACAAGATTGCTGTCCCATAAAATTTGTAATTACAGCGTTGTCCATCCTTTGCTAGAATCAGAGAACATTTTAATTTTCCCTGAGTTTCTCATACAAAATTCCACAAAGCAGAATATTTTATCAAGCCATTTTATCAAGAGTCATTGTCCAAGTTTAGAAGTCTAAGGAAGGATGTCAGACAATAGAAATTTGCATTTGTGGATGATAAGGTCAAGGAACATGGCATTTTGTAACCCGACAGCCATCAGCCACGTCATGCTAGAATGTAGTCAGCTCTCCCCACCTTCCACCAGAAAGGCTCCACTCCTCGCTGGCCCATCAGGCTCTGAGCCTTATTTCTTCAGGGAGGATTTAGCAGGAACGTACCACAGAAATTCCTCAAGTAGAGCTTGTTCCAGATTGAAATCGCTTCCCTATAATTTCTCCCTGGCTTTCAGAAAATGTGTATCCTCAAACATAGTACACTTAACTTGTTCCAAGGTGGGCATGATGGAAATACCAGTTTGATACTAGTCTTTGGAAACCCATTCTCTGCATGTAGTGTCTTCTACTTTACTGTAGCAGAGGACAGGGCTGACCTGGGCAACAGAAGAAGAAATAGGAAATAAGACGAAAATGAGAAATAGACAGGGATTGCCAGGAGGCCTTAGGTGCATTTTCTCCCCTAAAAATGGGGGGGGGGGGGGAAGGGTTTCTAAACTATTTCTGGATTCCATGCTATTAAGATTCATTTTTGCAATGATTTTATAAGTTATAAGTGTGTATGTGAGTGAAAGTTGTACATATATGATAGGTCTACCTTAGAGAGCTATTAGTGTTTCTGAAAACACTACAGAAAATAAATGCTGTATATAATCAAAATTACTCTGAAAAGCCCCACAGTAGTTCTTTGTTAGCCAACGTTACTCTATAGTCTTCTAATTATTTATTTGATTTCTTCTGCAAATATAGTGACAAAACCATCACTGGGTACCTGCCCAGTCCTCAAACCTTCTTCTTCTTCGTTTTTGTTTTTGTTTTTGTTTTTGTTTTTTTTTTTTTGAATGGCTAGAAAATCCTTAATATCTTTCACATATTTTTCTTTATTTCAGCAGCTCAGATTGGCAATTTTAGACTTGACTGCTTCCATTCCTGTCTAATATAAGTGATGCAACAGTGGTTGTCAAGTGCATATTGATGAATTTTCTAATATTAAATCTATATATGTTGGCACTGTGCTGTATGTGTGTGTCTGGGTATCTCATATTAGACCCTTATCATTGAAAATCATTTTTACTGTTTTCAGCCATTCCTACCAACTCCATGGGGCCACAACACATGCCAACATAAGTTTTATAGGCACCTATTTTAAACCTCAGCGACCTAACGAGAGAGCCTAGCCCTGCTTTCTAAGACATGTTCTTAAAAACTTTGATTAAAATTTATTAAAATGCCAATCCCATTCATTTGATTTGCACCTTGAAAGGATGTTAATTGAGAACATTTCTAAAATAAACCAAGACAAGTTTCATCCAGGTTCTACATATCACACAGCAACCAACTGAACCAAGAAAGATTAGCAATAGCATCTTCTTCATAATATATAGGCATCATATGTCCAATTAGATGTTGTCGTCCCTTCTTCCTTAGAAAGCCAATAGACAGAAAGTGAGACCTCTCAAAAAAAGCTGCAAATTCCAATGTGCAATTGGTGGAGAAAGTAGTAAGACACTTAATTTGCAATCTGCAACCCTATGGGATGCAATTACATTTTACAGCCACGGGAAGATGTTTCTGACAACAGAAGGGAACTCGTGTATTTTTTCCTCTGTCCTTCTTGTTTATTTTTTCTGGTTCACCTAGTAGTAAGTCATTTTTCTTTCACAGCATCTGCCGTGCCATCTGTCTCTGCTACAATATCTGGCATCGATGGCATGCGTTCCAATCCCAGAAAAAATCAGCCCCACATCCCATTTCTTCTTTCTTCTGCTGCTGTATTCTTACCAGTAGAGTCACTGACAGTTCCATGTGCTCTGTGCCACTCATGATCTTCATTCTTTCATTTTCATAAATCCCAGCATGTATTGCACGTATTTCAAAATCGTCTCTTGAGCTCATTAGACAAAAGAAAGCTCATTCCTACATGAGTCTTGCTAGACAGGAATGGACAGAGAGCATTTGTGTGTCTGAGGACTCGCACTAGGGGTTTTTTGGTTTGGTTTTCTGTCATTCCCAAGTGCTAGGCTAATATGTCTCTCTATATTCTTCTCATTGCTCCAGGAAGGAAGTGACTGAACAAGACTGAGGGCAGGAGAGGAGTCTACAAGCCATGTATTACTTGTGAATAACAGAAAAGAGAGAGGACTCCTTTTTGTATACATAGCAATTTTAAAAGGAAAGAAGAAATCCCACTAATTTATTGATCTGAGAGTATATGATCATTTTTAAATTAAATCATATTTTAATTTAAAAAGCATTTGGAATTCAGCTCTAACTTTTATTTAGAGCTTTTTAATCTCGCAGCCTCCCTTAGTCATTAGATGTTACTCCCAAACTAATTACAGTTCAAATTATGATTTTTCCTGCCAGCAGGTTAATGCAGATATAAACAACACAGATGTCTTTTTTACATAAGAAAGGCAAGATCAGTGTTAGCTTTACTTAGTCTCCACAGTATCATCATGTCAAACATCCCATTCCATAAGTATTTACTTCCTCCTAAGCCATCTTGTTTGGTGTCACGTATGCAAACAGGAATCCATGGATATTCAGGTTTCAAGGATATCCAGTGACAGCTCAGAAAATACCAGAAAGTAACAAATATTGCAGCATCCCAAATTCTCTACATGGTTTTCAATTCCTAGATAATTCGTATCCAAAGCAAAGTTTTCAGAACAAAAATTTAATGACCTAAAACCTAGAAATATCATCTAATCACAATGGTTCATCTCTTCTGCCTTTGTATTTTATTATCTTTCCCTCAAAGACACTCTCTCAATCTTTCCTCCAAACTATAATAATAGCAGGAAGAAATCTGCAAATAGTCACTAGCAGCAC